TCTCAAAAAAAACTTACACAAAATTTCTCACATGTTGCAAAAACAACTCAAAATTGAAAAAAAAAAATTATATTAAAAAAAACATTTTTTTTGTAATTTTATTTTTGATCCCGACTAATGCGCACATCTAGTAGATAAGATGGTTTAAATATAATACTACAAATTTATGTGAGCGCGCACGCGAAATTTCAAATTCATTTATATATGTATATACATACATATGTACACACGTATTTATTCACGTGTATGTAAATATATGCTAATAAGCATGTGCGCATTGGTGAGCATCTAAAATTTTGCAACCTGCTTTGCCGTCAAACCAACTGACGAATGCCAGTTTTGTTTTTTATTTTGGTTTTTGTTGCTATTTTGGCAAAACCCATTAAACGGGTATTCAACCATGAACATCATAAATTTTTATGCAACGCTCGAAGATAATTTCTGTTGCTGCGAAATCGTTAATTTTAAAGTGTTTGGAAGTTCAAGGAGAGAAAAAAGAGTTGTAAGTTTTAGGTTACTATAAAGGTGTCGAATAAAAAAACATTGTCTTCAAGTGTTTTACATTCAGATGTTAATTTAATAACATTTCAAGTATGTAATAATTTCGAACTGAACTAAATAATTATAAAACACCTTACATCTAGTACGAACTAAGTGGTCGGACTACTTACATATAAATCACAGCTTTTTTTACGTGTGGATGTCCTGTGCCCAGTAAATTGTCAAATTTTGCTTAGAAATATATCACTTTCTAGGTCAGAACATATTCATAATTATCTAGTATAGTATCTAAAATAATATTAATTTGAAAAACGTCACTATGCTCTGAACAATTATTTCAAGAAATCGGGCTCCTTTTGATGCTTCTTTTACTAATTCCATTTTTATCATGAAAAAGTAGTAAACCAGCTCCCGACTAGTTTACTGAGGAGTGTTGCCTCTCTGGGCTCAATGGGATGGATGCACTACGGTAGGACCCCTACAATCTTGCTATTTCGTTTCATCTTTACGCTCAAACCATTTGATGCTGTCAATGAAACCACATACCATATATTAATTATGCTTTTTGTGGACAGCCATTCATGATTTGGAGCTTGATGGGTTCCAAGCATTCTATGTCTGACTTGTGTTAGAGGTGGATGCTTACAGAGAAAGTGGAAACTGTTTCCTTATACCCTTCTAGCTTGCAGGTGCGGCAAATATTGTTATATGGCAGACACAGTTTTAGTGCATGTTCTCCAAAGGACCAATGCCCCGTTATAGTAGCTGTAATTCTGTAAATACTATTCCTCGACTTATGTAATAAGTCCTTAATTCTAGTCTTATCATACTTGGGCCATATCTGCTTCGTTATCTTACAGTTGGTAATTGATTTTCATCTGCTTTGAGCCATTTCTTCAAAGTGCGTATAAAGCGCTCTTTTGATTGTTCCCAGCGGGCATAGTATTATCTCCGCCTCCACCAGTAAGCTTAAAGCAATGCCGCCTGACTATCCGTGTATACGGTTGCTGTCTGTAACCTCCCGTAGTTACTCAATAGAAAACCATAGGCCTTCTCTATACTCAGTACTTCGGCTTGGAAGATGCTAGCTGAGTATGGTAGTCGGATAGATAGAGATATTTCGACTTGGTACTAATATTGGAATGTTGAAATAATATTTTGCAGTTGGTTATGTTAAGGTCGGGATGAATCAATAGTATATACGAATTGTATACTTATGAATTTGCGGATTAGTAATTTTTTTTTCTATTATGTATATTGTATATTAATTTTTATAATCCAGAGTATTCACCAAAATATTATTAGCTTGAATATAAAAAATTAATTACCGTTGGACCACGGTCAGAACTGAAATTACACTCTTTATATAATATATGTAGAGTGTACTCAGCTACAACAGTCAATTACCATAAAATATGCAAAGATATTAGAACAGGGAACTTCATATTTAAATTGTAGAACAGAGTGCTTAGAAAAACTTGACTGTACAATTTATAACTTATAGCAGAACCCCTACATGACTGAATTTCAGTAGTAGTAAAATTTATCTGCCGTATGGAAAGAACCGACGTAGAATTTTTTATAATGCTTTTATTAGCTTCACCTGTATGTTTGTATGAATGTATCTTTGTTTTGTGCAAGCGATAACTTGAGTATAAATTGAGATATCTTGATGAGACTTGCTACATGTGCATATTTTTCGTATATTGAGCATACCACGCTTTTCTCACAATAATGCTAGGTCGCATATATACAGACAGATAGACATGTCTTAGTCGACTCAGCTCATCAGCAGATCATTTATATATACATTGTATAGGGTCTCCAACACTTCCTTCTGGGTGTCACAAACCTCGTGGCAAACTTTATATGCTTACCGTATGTCTAATATATTTTGCATATTTTTCACTTTTTGCGTTGTATTTCACTAGGAATGCAGATATTATGTACAGACACACTCGTAAACAAAATTTAATATTTTGTTTATTTTTACCACAACTTTTTTTATCAATTATTTTTATTTTATGCTGCTGACGTTTTTGTTGTCCCGGTTTGTGGTTAGAATTTCATTGGTTCTGCTTATTACGTTCTTGGTAATTTTGTTTATGAAAACATTTGATTTAGTAACAAAGCAAAAAAAAACAAAAATCGGAAATTCGTATAAAACTGTTAGATTTCATTTAATACGTAATTTGAGTAGAAATATATGCTAATCAAAATTATGCTAAATAAGGGTGTGTGTGATAAAGGATTGGGCATAATCGACATTAATGCAGATCGATTTTGCAAAGAGTATAGGAAGTAAAATTGGTAAATTATAAACATTTGACAGCTATCAGATGAGAATATAATATAATATTTTATTTCTATTTACACTTTAGTAGCAGCTCTTCTAGAAAATTAAATTATTGTAAATAACTATTATATTTAATGTATTATATTATATTCTTTATCGATTTTATTAAACAAAAACATTTAAGCAGCCTTTTTAAAATGTTACATATTCAACTTTAAGCTTTTTTTAAGATGATTAGAGTAAAGATTACCCTTAACAGGATATATTAAGCTTGCCTCGAAGTTTGTAACTCCCAGAAGAAAACGGTGGAGACCTATAATATAGGGTATATATATAAATATTTGCACGATGAGCTGAGATTTAGCCAGTCTATCTGTACTAGTCTGTACTAGTCCCTCAGTTTTTGAGATATCGATCTGAAATTATGCGCACCGCCGATATCGGAGCACTATAGCATATAACTACCAAACAAACTAAACGGTGGGAACGGAATCAAGTATTTGCAGGGAAAACTTTTGCATTTGTGAAGGGTATTATAGCTCCCATACAACCGAAGTTAAGGTTCTTATGTTTATATATATTCTTTATTGCCTTTTGAGTGCACATTTACTTAGACATTTCACAACTTTTATATTTGCCATTTCGGTATAAAAATTTTATAGATCACTAGAGGCGCTCTAACTCCATTTAACTTACTCAAATATTTAAGAGTAGAACGAGGGTGATACGATAAATCACTAAAAGTCTAAAACATGTGGCTAGTTACTAGGATTATCTCCTATTCCTTATAGCGACTAAATTCGAGTGGAACAGAACTATAGAAAGAATTTTACGAGTACTAAAAATATATCAGTTATAACGAAAATTATCAGACGAATTGAATCAGTTGTCATTTATAAGGTGATGAAGAAAATGTGGACCGATACGATTTTTATTACATTATCTTGAATGGTTTTCGAATACATAACTTAAATATGATTAGGAATTGCAAGTGAAACACTTAACACCAATATGTGGTCGAGAACAAGATTATATGAGAACAACTCTCCTAATATTGCTAATTGCGTACTTTCTTTGGCTTTTATTTTGATTTTGATAGTTCCTGCCAGCGACAGTTAAATTAAATTTTAAATAAAAATAAATTTTATAAACTCTGTTGATGAAAGGCTACGCTGTAAGGGCTACCAGTTTATTCTTGCTGACCAAACAATAAATTTAGAGTTATAACTCACTTCCTCTGGCCACCTGCTCTTCCAAAGCGGCATTTCTAATGAAAGATCACTGATTAAACGGTAAAGTGTTTGTGCGCGTATTTCAATATTTTTCTAAACTTTATTTCCATAGTCATTCGCATAAAATTTATGCGCAACTTTTATTTGTTATATTGTTGCATTCCTTCGGCGTTTCAAGAAAAACAAGTTGAGTAAATTTGTTTTCGGAATCTTATTTCATGCGGTTTTTTGCTTTCTCTGCAGTTAATTCACACAACGGCAGCAGTGACATCAGATAGCGACATAGCGAAATCGCTATATTATGCAGCAAATATGCACTAATATTTGCATATGAACATAGGTGATATATACATATCTAAATATATATACAAATATTTCATGTGGCTGGCCAGTTCCGAGCAATACAAACTATTTAAAATGGTTCTTTGCGGAAGCTGAGTGTGGCTAATCCAACCATCCATCTAAGCAACTAATCTTAAGTTTTGACCACTTTTCTTTCACATACCGTACATAAAAATGGAAAAAAAGAAACAAATAAAAACTTTAATTTTGTAGATATCGAGTCAAATGAAAACGTTTTTCAGAGAACAACTTGATTATATGTGTGGAAGCTATATGCTATAGTGATCCAATCTGAATTATTTCTTCGGAGAATGCTTCATTGTCTTAGATAATAAACCATGCCAAATTTCTTGAAGATACCTCGTCAAATAAATATGCGATATCGGCAGTTCCAACAAATGAGCAGCCTCTGAAGAACGTGCGCAAAATTTCGATTTCTAAAAAACTGAGGGACTAGTTTAGCTCGTCATGCTGATCAATATGTATACATAAAGCCAATCGGTAAAATATTTAAAATATTTTCAAACCACAAATGACCTCTGCTACTGTGATCTTGTGGGATCAGCAAACAGTATAATAATTTAAAGAAAATAACAAAAGGAAATTTGACATATTTAATAAAAACTTACCTTTAAATCAATCGAGTATGGAGCAACCGAATATGGAGCAACCGCAATATATAAGGTTAGTATGAAATCGCTACACTGGTTCTTAATTAATTTTCGTAAAAATGCGAGGAACTAAAAGAGTGGGTAGACTAAGAAGCCTGAGTTTACATAGCGTTTTGAAAACTTCTTATGATCAGCTGGTTAAACTGTAGTTATAAATCCAGAGCATCCAAATTTGAACAACTAAAATGATAAAGACAGAGTATGTTAATAAATGCATGAAAGTTAAAGAAGTTATGAAATATATTGCAATTGTTCAATGAAATCTTGAGAGTTTTTAAAAATTAACGACAATGCACTAAAAGATATAAAAGTTGGGCTAATGGCAACTTTGGTATACTTTCTTAGAACGTTTCAACGTAGCAAATTCAACTAGCCTTTTCAATTTAGAAACCAATATATTGTATTTAGACTTATTGGGCGCTTATCCGTTGAAAATTAATCCAGACGAAGTTCCTATTAGATATAGAGAGCGTGACTTCCAGCTAAACTTAAGTTTTTTAACTGAAATGATTCCATTCGAATTTTCAATAAAGATTTAATAGATTCGTTCGTAGAGAACTAAGGAACATATGCATCAACCCTTCCACATATATTACCGAACTGGCATCAGATCTGATCAGATCTCTTGCGTTCATCTCATGGACCATTGGGTTTCACATACTGACTGGCCAATATCGCAGTGGGCTCTTGTGGTAAAGCAAAAAATTTTGCCGAAATTATCTCGAAAACGCAGAGGTAAGATTAACTGCACCCTTCTTTATTGACAGTTTCGCGATGAAGCTTTATCCGATAGGGGTCCGATATAGGCTGTTTCGAGCATATTCTTGGGGAGAAAAGGACGCATGCTAAACTTCAGATTTATATCTGAAAAACTGAGAGACTAGTTCGCGTACATAGAGACGGAAATACAAAATAGCGTGCTCAACTCGTCACACTAATCATTTATATGGTACATGCTAGTAGTCTATAAAGTCCTGACTTCTTTATTTGTCATTTATAATATTTATCAGTTTAAATTATTAAATTATTAATGTTAGTTAAAAATATACATAAATACACTTAAAAATAATAATAATTATTATTATACGGCGACAATCTAATGTATTTACCGAAAAACACCGAAACTTGCCCTCACCTCTCTCAAGAAGGTACGTAAGCTCTTGCTTGTAAGAACGCAAATAACATAAATACTCGTAGGTTAAGCACTAGAATTGTTTTTATCGTTAAATATTACATTTGAAATTTGCTAATTCACTTGGAAGTAAATATTTACATACAGACATACATGCATACCTATTTTACAGATATCATAAATAGCAAAGTGTTAAAGCACTCAGACGACGCCTCACTTATCTCCATAAATACTTGGATATGCATTTCGGAACTGCATCTTATTATTTGAGCGCAAATAAATAAATAATAAGTGTTATATATAGATAGTTAACAGTGTGCTACTACTATTTTTTTTTTTAGCGTAAAACGTTTCTTACATAATAAATAGTACGTATGTTATGTTAGGTGAAAAGGTCGATCCTTGCGATAAACTATCTCAATTGGACAAAGTGCTTTGAGCCTGTCACAAATTTATACAGGTAGACTGGTAACTTGCATTTTTTTATTACTTTTTTGGGAATATTTGATTTGGACAAAATATACATATGTTATCATTATCATTAATAGTATCTCTAGAGTGTATAAAAAAGTATGGAGGTGGCTGACACCGGTGATTTGGTCACTTGCAGACATCTGAAATAGAAAAATCAAAAAGATTGTTGTTCTGTGTGCTCGTCATTCTGGAGCTTGTCATTCTGATTAAACAATTTCGTTGAAAAATAAAAAAACTGGTTAACTAAAAAAAACAATTACATTTTTTAAGTAGAAATCGGGCAGTAAAATGGAAATTTAGCGATAAAAAAAATAAGCTAGCTCCTGTGAGAGCTATTGTTGAGTCAAATACCAGCCCAATCGGTTGGATAGAAAATTTTTTATCATACGGACCGAGCGAAAGAAAGTTGTTTCGAAAAAAACGCGTAAAAAGTTTCAACAATCGACATCGCAAGATCTCCAGGATTTCTAGTATTGCATTTCATAACATTAGCTATAAGTTTAACTTTAACTTTAACAAATTTATAGCAAACATAAAGCGTTGCCACCTTTAAAAAAATAGAACTGGAAAATGATATATCAAAATTATGTTAATCAAAAAGTGTTCTGCAGAGTTATTAAAAGACTCTAATCTACGCATATTGTTAAATAGAGTTGCCACATCTGTAAAAAAGTGCTACCAGAAAATAATATAACATTATAAACTTCTGAAATCTCTACTTATAGCAAAGCATTTATGTCTCGAATTTCAACAAATATCAAATATTCAAAAAAATGACGTTATATGCACGTTCTGCGTGGGTGTACAATATTCGCGTTTATTAGTTGTACTAAACATTCATTATTAATTACGTCTCTACTTTTGTAAAAACATAGTTATGTAAATTTTTTATTTTTCCAAAACAACACATTCTATTGCATTTTTATGGCATCCTATTTAAGTATGCACACAAATTTACTCTGACAAATATGAGTATTTGCGTCTTAGAATTGCTTCTTTTCAGACATAACAAATGCTCATAAAACGCCAGTCAAGAGCGTAACCGGAGACGGCGTATCGAATTGGTACCAGGAAGTCGCAAAACACTGTCAGGTGAGTTGGCGTACAGACTGCAACTGCGTTTCGAAAAATTTTCAGTACCGTCAGCATAAGGTATTTTGTGGCGATAAACATTGTTTTTTCATAGTAAAAAAACAATAAAAAAAACATTTACAATGTGAGCTTGAAATCGTTCCGTTGCCGCCCATTTCATACTTTCATGCTAGATTTATTATCGGAATGCGCAGAACAACACGTTCTAATGGCAACACACATTTTTTGTAGATTACAGCATTACAAGTATTAGTAAAAATAGATTTCATAATACATAAATGCATATGTATATATGTACATACTAAGGTACTTCAAACATATAATAAAATTTTTCTTTCATACACATAACTAATTTTAAATATGACGGCAACATCCATATATACATATTCGTGTTATTTTTGACTACGCAAGACTACGCCCTATTATAAAAATACATTATATCTGCATTTCGCAATTAATAACATCAAGAATAGTACAATAAATATTTTCTGTATTAGATCATTTAAATGACGAAAGCTTCACTTTTAATCTTCGATCACTAGCGAATAAACGAAATAAATCTTTTAGATCTATTCAGACGACTTAACCCAAAATAACAATCAAACTTTTCTGAAGATCGTTTGCGCGAGTCTGGGGAGTTCATCATGAAACTCATAAATTAGAAATTAGCGGTATTCCATCCTTCAGCTGATATTAAAAATCGTGAAGGTATTTCCCATCTAACCTTGCAAAAAAAACTTCCGACTGTGTCCGAGTAATTCAAGCTTGTTGAACTATATTTTAGTAAGTTTTTAAGTGTACTATCGTTTCCTTCCTCTTGCTGGCAAAATTCTAGTCAATACGAACTGAAGTGCTTATTTAATCATTTTCTGGAGTGAGACGAACCTTTAAAAGAGCTTACACTCCTAACCCTAGTTGAGCCAAGAATACTGATACCTGAAATATGATATGGAACATAGTCAATCTTGACTTGGTCTTCCGGCGCTAACACAGTAATAGGTGGTTGTTTAGGGTATAACAGGAAATATTAAATTTGCCACGAAGTTTATAAAAATTACACAGAGATGTCAGAAACTCCATAAAAAAAAAAATGTATATACTTATATACCTACGTATATGTATATATTATCAACGTGACGAGCTGAGTTTATTTAGCGTTGTCAGTCTCTCCGCCTGTCTGTATATACACATGTATGTACTTAAACTAGTCAAACAGTTTTTGAAATATCGATCTGAAACATACGCCCTTTTTTCTCCTACGTGCTGCTCATTTGTCGGAACCGCTGATATCCGACCACTATAGCATATAGCTGTCATACAAACTGACCGATCAACATCAAGTTCTTGTATGGAAGATTTTGTTATTTGACGAGATATCTTCACGCAAATTATCATGAATTATCATCCAAACTAACCAATCGAAATCAAGATAAACATCTTTTTAGATTATCTTTTTATGCTATAAGAAATACATCTATGAAAAGTATTATAGCTTCGGTGCAAAGAAAGTTAACGTTTTTTCTTGTTTCATAATCATTAAGGTAAATTCCAAAGCATAGTTTTATCTGATCGTAGTCATATGATTGCCTCCCTGATATGGGTTGACAGAGAACCATTTCAGAAATGGTTGACTTTGCTATAGGGCCACTTGAAATCAAAGTTTAACAACAGAAATATTCGACTTGACGAAATCAACTGTGTGTTTGTTGGGAGTTAAGACCAACGAAAATTGTCTAAATGCGTCTCGTTCCACTTCCATTTTTCTAATACATGCAGTAACAGAAATTTGGCTTTAATATTGCTACTTGATTTCAAAAATAATATGAGACAATAGAAAAATTTACTTGTAGAGTATGAGGATTACAACTGTTGCAAATTTAAACGATTGTTATTGAGAGAAAGAATAAAATCCCGCAAAAAAGATCATGGTTAATCTTTTGTCAGTGAGCTTATCGGAAGCCTGGTAGTGAGAAAAATGTACACAAAAATTAGCCCAAACTCAATAACTTCTTTACCTAAGGATCAATGGTAAAATCCATGTTTTACAGAGTTAATGACTCTAATAACCAACTCTAACTAATAACTCTAACTAATAAGACTCGCTTCTGAGTTCCGTTATACCTATATTTTTTGTAGTCAATTGTAATCTATAATGACAGACAAATTAGTCACCATACATTACTAGATCACATGATTCCAAAGTTCATTGGCTATATTTACCAAATTATCTAATTGCAGTGGACCCGGACTCCATGAGTACTACTACATATATACATACATACATACATAGTACCTTAAACCTTAAACTCAGCCAAATTCACATTCAAACATACTACAAATGCTTTCATTATCTTTACAAGTACACTCTGTTAACAGATGTGTGGTGCTGAAATGCATTTATACATACATAAGTTCCTACTGGCCTCTCTGTTTTCTTAAGTGATTAGTTGCACTCATCAGCTTTTCTCTTTGTCAGTCAGAT